TCAAATAAAGCCAAGGTAACACTCATTTTACATAGAGCACGCAATGAAAATGACATTACTATGGCAGTGGGCAAATGCATAAAGCGCAGCATAATTTGAAATCACTAACTTAGTTTAAAGTTTGTCGATCGCGCGTCTCCAGTGAAGCTGAACTCTCCTGTCAGCATTCAATTCTCACGGACCGACCGTCACGCAGAACACACGCGATCATGCAGGATACACATGCACACTTCACAAGATCTCACAACTGGATCCGACTAAGTTTGCAAGGTTTGTGAAATTAAATGTTCATTAGTCATGAATGACCCCTCTGAACACATCGGCCAAACAGAAAAACTTATCGGCCGATGCCGATATTTGAAAAGTGCCAACTATCGGCCGATATATCGGTCGAGCACTACTCTTTAGATTTCAGTGAGACAAAGCTGGCATCATGAACAGAAAGAAAGCTGTATTCCTGTCCTGGTTCTTGTTAATTGATCCTGTGGATGTGATTGAGGGGGTTTAACAGCCTGAGGATCTGGTTATTGTAAAAGCATGCGGCGGGTTCAGAGTGTGTTGAAGAGGGTTCGCTGAGATGATTGGGTGCTGTGTCACATCCTCTGACTGTGACCTGTGATTTCTGAAGGCCTGCTGGGTTGCCATCTGCTCTGGACGGTCCAGCAGGCCGAACACAAACACTCAATCCATCTGATTGAGGACAGACACGCTGCATCTGAAAACACAAACGAGATCTCTGATGTCTCGGTGCTTTCTCCAGACGAGTCACATGGATGAGACTTCAGTGATCTCACGGTTCTCTTCTAGAGCTCCACAAGAGCTTTTAATGTCTCAAGCTGGGCTCAGATTTGCAATCAGAAGTCTCAAAATTATCTTAAACATTTATCAAATTCTCACACCATGTACGGTCTCTTCAGTGCAATATGATGAAATATGATGATCTCATTGCATATGACATATTTGCTTTTTTATTAGCATGTTTATGCGTATTATAATTTATAGCATATTTTTAATATGAATATTTATGTATTTAATAGTGAATCATAGTACTGATTTATTATTATAATTATTATTATTATTAGGTGAAATAATAAATAAAATACCAATGATAAATATTATTTATTGCGTGTTATTAGTATGATTTATTATTAGCATTTTTATTTATTCATATGATGATGATGATGATGATGATAATAATAATAATTGTTTGAATTGATAAAATAATCATTATTAGTATTTATTATTAATATTTTAGTATGATAATAATACAATTATGAATTTAAAAAAAATTTAATATATAAAATATTATGAATAAATATAGTTTATAGTGTGCATGTATGTATATATTTGTAATAGTAGTATTTATTAACATTTGTATTTATTAATTCGTATAATGTTATGATGACAATGATTATTGTTATTATCATTATCATAATTTATGAATGAAAAATACACTAAAATTGTGCTAATAATAACAATACAACTAGTTACAAGGTACAAACAATACCACTTAATTAGTGGTAATTATTTTTATTTTTAAATTAATGAATAAATAAAATATTAGTAAAAATATAGTGTAAACTGTATATATTATTACATTTTTATTAATTCGTTATTCATTTATTTCTTCTTATTAATAATAATAAAAATAATGTGGTTATTATTATTATTATAATACAAATGAAAAATATACTAAAAATATATAGTAATAATAGTTATAGCATATTTTGTTATTATTATTATTATTAAATTAATAAAACAAATCAGTAATAACAATATAATGTATAGTGTGTGTATTATTATCATTATGATTATTCATTCAACACTTATTATTATTAATGATGACAATAATGTGAATATTAATATTATTATACAAAATGAAAATATATAAAATATGTATACAAATAATAATAATATTTATATCATTCTATTAGTAGTATTTATTATTATTATTATTAAATAAAAAATAAGTAATAAAAATATAGTTTATAGTGTGTGTGTATTACCATTTTTATTAATTCTTTCATTCTTATTATTAATAATAATAATAATGTGAATGTTGTTATTTTTATTATTATTGAAAAGCATACTAAAAATACATTACACTAATAATAATATAATTTATAATAGTAGGTTCTCTCCGATGTGGGCTCTTGTAAGACGGCGTCTCAGGGAAGATCTGAGTGATTAAGTGGCGTTGGCAGCGATCAGCACAGGACGCGTGAGGAAGAGTGCGATAGTTTGTCAGCGTCGCCTGCAGTGTTACACAGATCTTCATCCATCATGACGCTCAGGCCCGTCCATTCAGCACCAGTGATTTCTGCACCCGTCATCCATCTTTCCCCTCGTCTCTGTCCGATCGCTTTAATCACGCCGCCGCTGTTCACAAGTTTAAGATAATCGTCTGCTGACATTTCGTATCCTGTGATCCCAGACTAGCGACACTCGAGAGAATGAGACTCGTATTATTCACAAATGCTTATTTGCTTTCCTCCAGCAG